ATAAATATATATTAACTAATTTATTAAATTTGTAATAACACTTGATTAGTGACTTCACCCTCCTTGTTTTTGGATTGTATATTTGAGATGCAAGATTTTGAGTAATTTTCCCTTGTATAAAATCACAAAACAATTCAACTCCTTTCAATTATATTATGCTTAAATGATCGTTTCGCCCTTCTAGTTATTTTCTCTCTCAAGCTCGCATTTTCTTCAAAGACTTCTTTATCATCAAATCACATAAATAATCTAGAACTCGCTAAACACCGAGTAGCTTAGATTTAAAATGCTATCAAGAAAATATTTAAGCAAATTCTTTTACACATTGGACTGGGTGATAGTTTCCAAATGAGAATACGCATTCACTACTTCTCTTGCCATAAATTCCCAACATATGGAGATATTTAACCATATCCATTCTCTCACTCATTGGCCCCCAAATTTACGAACAAAAACACTGTTTTATTACAAATCTAGGCAATCCTTAATACAATAACTTCAACTCTTCGCACAGTCATGTCCATTAAATATCAAATGTATTGTGTCACTACTTGATAGACCACGTACCTCAATTGGTAGGTAGTCGAATCCTACAACCTTATTAGAACTTACCGATTGTAAGATCAGACATGGTCGTAGATAGCTTCTAGTAATTTTTTCATGAATTCCAGATCGTTGTAGAGGGATTAAGCATTCCTTCAAACGCATTGAGGAGATCTATGGTTGAAAATAGCTCCTCGGTAGCTACCCTAGCTCCCAACTCTTTTGGAGAATGAAATGGGCCCTTTTGTTGCTCATCTACTAGTTAATTTAAGATCTGGGTGATTAACTTCCAAGAAGTAGTGTTTTCTTCTTTATGAACATATTCTTAATATTCCTCATTTTCAAAGGCAGGAAAGATATATTATTTAGAGATACAAAAAAATACTATACATTAGATGCTAAGAATACGATCTTTAAAGGACCCCCAGCGAACTAAAGACTTTTCGTGAGCATAAAACTCTTGTATGGTGTTTATTGCTTGGAAACCTCACCTATCCCTCAAATAGCTCTATGGCTCACTTAAGGTTTGTTTTCTTAAAGCTTATTTGCCTAAGAACAGAGACCACTTAATTTAAATGTCAATTAGTAGATCGTATTAATCCGTGGAATATAATGACTCGTGGATCAGTGAGTCAATAGCTCTACTAGATAGTGTTAGATTACCCAGCTCAGCTCTTCATTCTAGAGACTTCTGTGTAGTTAGATAGTTTGTTAGTTAATTAGTTTTTTAGTCTATAAATAGAGCACTTTGTATTCATTGTATTTCATTGGATTCTATTCTAATCTTCAACATGAAATCATCATGTTGAAACTATCATTTTCTTCCCTGTAGTACAGCAGGTTTCAATTTCGTTTCCTTCCTTATTTTCAATATGGTAACAGAGTGGAAAAGGCTCTCCACCATTCTGCTCAAATTTCATCAGATATAATTTTGCCATCCACAAATGAAACTGAAGATCAACAAAGCCTTCTATCTCAGTTCTGTTCTTCCTCCTCACTCTAGCATTCTACTGGAATATGATTTTTTAGCATTCAATAAAGGCGACCGAGCCTCTTATCAACACAGATCCAAAACCAGATGAATTCATCTTCATCCGTGACCTGATTTCGCAGCAATTGACAAAAGCTGATTTGTTCAATTTTTCCTCATCAATGAGTTATTTCGCCATTGATGATGTATCTGGCTCATTTTTCTGCCTCCTGGAGCATATCAATTACTAGAGATGTTTCTTCTATTCTCTCTAGCTTTGTACTAGAGATGTTTTCTTGGAATTTATTCTGATTCCATTTTC